GACAGCAATCCATGCCTGCCGGGCACAGGCTGTGACTGATGGGCCAGGGCAAGGAATGACTTTTCATGGTCAGGGACTTTACAGGTATGGGCACCCAAGCTGGGTTCAGAAGGATGTGGAGATTTGGGCAGGCTGAAGGCAAGGGACATTCACTTGAAGGCAAAGGTGTCACAGAGGTGCAGAGTGGGAGCTGAACTTTGCTTGAGGACTGAATGGGACTTGCTTAACAGGAGAGGGTGTATTGGTGTGTGTGTTTCCAGAACAGGCCCAGTGGGAAAGAGGTTGGCAAGGGAGGTAGGGATCAGATTACATAGTAATCAAAATCTGGTCTAAACTAACAATCAGTCCACCAGAGCACTGGGGTAGGTGCTGAGCCCCAAGTCCCACCATACTTGTATCCTCCATTCTCTGGTTGTAATGGCCTGCTTAGCCCTGTGTCTCCCCTGGACTGAGTGCTCTGGGAGTGAGACAGGGATGAAGCCCTGTTTGCTGCTGAGCCCAAAATTAGTGCTGTGTTTGAGGGAGGCACATGTGGTACACCTAGAGGCCGAAGGAGAGGGTCTCTTCAGAACCTCCAGACAGGGAGCCCCTACCACAGCACCATGCCCAGCTCCCTGTGGGCACTCGGTAAATGGGAATGGAATGGACACATGTGCCCAGGGGTGACTGTTCTAAGGCCGACTGCAGTGTCTGTAGGGCCCACCATCTACTCTCGAGAAGCCCCGGGGGGAGTCCCGAATCCAGGTACCTGTTAGGCCCCATTGACTGTCACTGATCTGAAGAGAGATTCCAGACATGGGAAATCCAGGGGACTCCCTGCAGAGACCTGGAGAGGGTCTTCTCCCCAGCCCCACTCCAGGCCCAGACATCATCACTGTCAGGTGGTGGCTTCTTCATCTGCTTGTCCCTGCCTTGCTGACCTCCTAGCTCTGGCTCCCCTTCCTCTCGCTGTCTGCTCCCATCCCTGATGCTCCCGCTCTCTCTTCCCTGCTCAGCCAAGGAGCTATTTTTGTCATCTCCCCCTCCCCCATCTGCCCCTTATGTCCCCCAGGATTGAGCATGGTTCCTTCTCAGAAGCGGATTCCTGAAAGGCCCTGCCCTTCAGGGGCCAAGGATGGGGCCACCAGTTGCCGGGCAAAGAAAGAGCAGCCAGGAAGCAAGTGACGAAGCCTGCAAGAAGGCCAGGGAGGAACAGGAAGGACTAGGTGCAGCGGGCAGGGTGGGAGGGAGACTGGATAAGGATGGGGGAGGATGGAGGAGAGCTGAGAAAGAGACAAAGAAACAGAGCCACAGGGCAGGGCATAGTGCTGGGCTTGGGGTTGAGAAGTCACTGCAGGCGGAGGTAGGCAGCTCAGGCCTGGACCCCACAGATGCACCCAGATGCCCGGAGCAAAGGGAGCCTTAGACCCCTGCTTCTGAGCTCGTGTCCTTCTTTCTTTCTTTTCTTTTTTTTTTTGAGACTGTCTTGCTCTGTTGCCTAGACTGCAGTGCAGTGGCACAATCTCGGCTCACTGCAACCTTTGTCTTCCAGGTTCAATCGATTCTCCTGCCTCAGCCTCCCGTGTAGCTTGGACTACAGGTGCAAGTCACCACACCTGGCTAATTTGTGTATTTTTAGGAGACAGGGTTTCACCATTATTGGCCAGGCTGGTTTCGAATTCCTGACCTCAAGTGATTTGCCCACCTCAGCCTCCCAAAGTGTTGGGATTACAGACGTGAGCCACCATGCCCGGCCTGAACTCATGTCCTTGTGACACACTCTCCCAGGTGCCCCCAGGCTCACGAATCCAGCAGAGCATCCAGAGACGGCAGGGGGCATGTGAAGCCTTTCTGTCCTCCCAGCCTGCCCTGGGAAGGGGTTGGGCCTTCCTAGCTCTGGGTCTTTGGAGGTGTTGTTGATGGTGTGGGGGTTCCACTTGCAAAAATCAGGTGCTCTAGGTTGCGGGGAGCAGAAAGGATGCAGGGGTCTAGAATAAGAGGAAACAGTGCTGAGCTTGAAGAAGGGTGAAAAGAGATTTTAAATCTGCCATGCTCCTCCTAAACTGGTGCTCCTAGGCAGTAAAAAATCCAGTACAGTGTGTGCTTTGTGGGTTAGTCACACTGTGACTGATCTGTGAGCTGCTGTCAGTAGAGTGAATCAGGGGAGGGAGGGTGTGAGTGTGTGTTGAAGGGTGTGAGTGGGTGTGATCATGTATGTGGAGGTGTGTGTGCCTATGGCTCCCCAGGGTAACATGGGTTAAAGGTAGGATTCAGATGTGTCTGGCTGGCGGGGCCAACCTACAGAAGTTTTGCTCCAGGCCGGGCGCAGTGGCTCATGCCTGTAATCTCAGCACTTTGGGAGGCCAAGGTGGGCAGATCACCTGAGGTCAGGAGTTCAAGACCAGCCTGGCCAACATGGTGAAACCATGTCTCTACTAAAAATACAAAAATAAGCCAGGTATGGTGGCATGCTCCTGTAATCCCAGCTACTTGGGAGGCTGAGGTAGGAGAATCGATGGAATCCAGGAGGTGGAGATTGCAGTGAGTCAAGATTGCACCACTGCACTCCAGCTTGGGCAAAAAGGGTGAAACTCTGTCTCAAACAAACAAACAAACAAACAAACAAACAAAAACAGAAGAAGTTTTGCTCCAAGTTCCCAGAGCCTCCAGCCTCCAGGGAGCAGACTCACCCCAGGA